TATAATGTCAAAAACAGAGAGAGAAAGAGAGAGAAAGAGAGAGAGAGAGAGCGGGGGGAGAGAGGGAGAGTGTAGCGAGGCGAAATATCGCGAATTAATAGCCGAGACGAACTTATACCGTCGGTGTTAAGTGCTTCCTCTTTCTCTCTCTCTCTCTCTTTTTCTCTCTTTTCTTTTTTTCTCTCTTTTTTCGCGCGCTCTCGCTTTGCCCTTTGTACGTCGACGAGATGATGGTAGGTAGACGTAGAAGAAGAGAACGCGACGTAGATGTCGACTAAGACGATGAAGGTGGGGTGGTAGTATCAGTGGCAGTAGCAAATGGCGATGGTAGTGAAGGTGGCAATGATGATGGTGGTATTAGTGAAGGCAAGTGGAGGCAGTGACGGCAGTGGCAGTGGCGACTGGTGGCGGCTATTCGTTACACCAGGAACGTCTACTCGTCGTTAAAAGGAATTTTAATCACATTCTTCGCGGCTGAAGTGACGATAAGGAGGTTCCTGGAAGGGTGGTGTACACTATGCTTCTATCTCTGTCTCTGTCTCTGTCTTTGTCTCTGTCTCTTTTTAACTCACTTTCACACTTACAGGCACTCATATTCTATCCCAGTCTTTTCCCTGAGGACTGTTGGTGACCGTGAGGGTGATTTGGCCTGAGAAGCGTGACGAAAACTCTGGAGAGCGAGAAGGATAGAGATAAAGAGAGGGAGGGGGTTGGAGGGGGCAAGAATAGGTAGTAGTGGTGGTGGTGGTGGTGGTGGTAGAGAAAAGGGGGGTGGAGGAAAGCTACCGCCATTGTTACCGGCGTGCCTCGAGTACCCCTAGACGTTTTACTTTTTAGACCCTATCTCTCTCTCTCTCTCTCTCTCTCTTTCTCTCTCTTTCTCTCGTGCGCGCATCTCTCCAACCTCCCTTCGAAACTTTTCCCTCTTTCCCTTTTCATCCCTCTATTTCATCAACCATCGATCCCCTACCTATCGCGTCGATCGTGCCATTTTTACGAGCTCGTCCTAGAAGGAGTAAGAAAAAATCCCGCAGACGAACGATTTCCTCGCGTTAATTGCTCCCTTTTCAAGGGTTTCGGAGAGGGTAGGGGTGCAGAAAGACTGGACGGGACGGGACGATTGGTTGGAGGAAGAAAAGAGGAGCTGGTAAAAGACGATGATAAAAGAAAAAAAAAAGAGAAAGAGAGAGAGAGAGAGAGAGAGAGAGAGATGAAAAAAAGAAAGAAAAAAGAGAAAAAGAAAAGAAGGACCGATAAAATTGGACATGGGGAGAAACGAATAAGTTTAATTCTGGAATAATTTTCTCTCTCTCTCCCTCTTTCTCTTTTCTTTTGTTTTTTCTTCCTTTTTTCTTTTTCTTTTTTTTCTTTTTTTTTTTACTCGTAACTACCCCTTCAACAACGAATTGCTAAGGGTGGATCTTATTAATGATTTTGTCGACTTATTTCTTTTTTCATTTTTCATGTTTGATCTGTTTTTCTTTTTTTTCTTTTTTTTTCTTGATTCTGTTTTATTTATTTGTTGGTTTTATTTATTTAAGTGATTATTTATATATCTTTTTGTTTATTATCTTATTCATTGCTCGCAGGTTTCTTCAAGGAACTCTTGGCGACCAGCAAGAGAGGCTTCCACGAGATGTTCAAGAAAACTTATGGGATTTTGTATGAACAAAATGCTTACGTCTTCACGGATCTATTCAAAGAACTTGAGAATTATTATGCTAAGGGAACGGTGAGTTTATAACATAATTAATATATAACATAATAATCGAATCGTTTTTTCCCTTTTTTTATTTTATTTATTTATTTATTTATTTATTTATTTATTTATTTATGATCTTTCGCAGGTCAATCTGGATGATACGATGGACAATTTCTTCAATACGCTTTATCAAAAGATGTTCACCGTGTTGAACAGTCAATATAAGTTCGACGATAAATATTTGGAATGCGTGGGCGATCACATGAAGGAAATGAGGCCGTTCGGGGATGTACCACAGAAACTCAGCGTTCAAATAAAAAGATCATTCGTTTCTACTAGAGCCTTCAGTCAAGCTTTAACAGTAGCTGCTGACGTTTTGAAGAACATGCAAACGGTAATAACGAAGTTACTTTATTATCTGGATCTTTAAAAGATCATTATAAAAACAAATAAAAACGATAATAATAATAATAATAAGAAGAAGAAGAAGAAGAAGAAGAAAAAGAAAAAACAGGATCAATTATCATCAATTCATCGATTATTTCTAATTATTATTCTCATGATAATTATATGTGTGTGTGTGTGTGTATCTGTATATATATATAATATATATATATATTATATATATGTATATATATATATATACATTCGTAGTTGAAATCATCACCAGAATGTGCTGCGGCGTTGACAAGAATGACGGCCTGTCTCTCGTGCAGCGGTATAGCAGGGAAGGTGTTGGCTTGCGGCGACATGTGTACTAACGTAATGAAGGGGTGTTTAGCACAGCACGTGGCGCTTGACGGCGAATGGAATCAATTTGTCGGTCAGTAAAACGATCCCCCCACCTATATATATCCTACCATTAATATATTTTCTCTCTCCTTTCGATTATTTCGATAATCGAAATAATAATTTTAATTGAGAGTTTCTTCTTTTCTTTTCTTTTTTTTTTTGTTTTTTTTTTTCTTTTAAATTCACCCCTTCTTTTTTATATTTATTTATTTATTTATTTATTTAATTTATATCATCAAAATAGAGGCCTTCGATAAAGTAGCCGATCGTTTGCTCGGCCCGTTCAACATAGAGATGTTGATGAAACCAATAAACTTGAAGATATCGGAAGCGATAATGAACTTCCAAGAGAGCAGTAGCGACGTCTCGCAAAGGATATTCACCGGATGCGGACGTCCTGTCTTGGGTAGACGAAGACGAAGAGATAACAGAGAGTTGGAACTAGAATCTTTGAACTTCGATCAGGAAACGTCGGCCGAGGATCGTTCCTCGACCGCCGCGATACTGGACAAGCTCGTCAAGGAGATAAGACAGAGGGTGAGAGATTCTCGACAGTTCTGGGTCTATCTACCTTATCAGTTATGCAATGACGGTTTAGTACAACCACCTAGTAATACAAAGGAATGTTGGAACGGCACACATGTCGATAAGTGAGTATATATATATATATATATACTTATATATATATTCTTTTCTTTTTTTTTTCTTTTTTCACTGCAAATGAAAATTTATACAGTTATATAGGAAAGTGATGGCACATTATTCATTTATATTTATTTTTTATCTTTGGAAGCTTCAATACATTGCCAAGTTAATCGATATCCATGTATATATATATATATATTTTTTTTTCACTGCAAATAAATTCACCTTTTTTGCAAATGAAAGTTTATATAGATATATATAGGAAAGTGATGGCACATTATTTTATTTATTTGTTTTTTAAAGCTTTAGTACATAGATATAAAACAAAAAAAAAATATATATATATATATATATGAGCCGCTCACGTTTATCAAATTGATTAAAACTCCATAAAACCCAAAAGTGGAGAAATGTGAATAAATAATATAAATTGCTTTTTAAAATTCCCTTTAAAATATAAATTCAAATAGACATTGTAAATGCAAACGTAGCTGATGATCATCTAATGACATAATAAATTGAATAAGATAAAATAGTCTCAGAAATAATTCGTTATTACTGAAATAAATTATTTTTTTTACTCGACGACTCAAAAAGAATTTTATCATTTAATGATATTATATATACGTATTTGTAAAAGTAGATAGATGACAAAATGTAATAAAAAAAAATGATATTAAATTTTTACAATAAAAAAAAAAAAAAAAGAAAAAAAGAGGAAAAAGAAACGAAAGGAAGGCAAAAGTTATTCTATCTTCATTTTAAATAATAAATATAATAATTAATAACAACTAGGATGATATCAATATTCATTATTAATATTCGTAGATATATATATCCTGTATCATCGGACGGTGAGACGCAACCATTAAATCCGGAAGTACGAAGTAGCGGACCAAGGCCTACGATCGTTAGAGATCAAATATTTGCATTAACAACGATAACGAACAGGCTTAGATCTGCATTCAATGGTCAAGATGTCGATTGGATAGATACAGGTAATTAATTAATTAATTAATCAATTAATTAATTATCAGCCAACCAACCAACCAACAACCAATAATATACAACATAGAGAGATGTTAATTTCCACTCCTCTTCCCATTCGATATATAAATTACAATTTAAAATCGTGAGATCGCGTTGTTAAATCATCCCTCAAAATATCGATATAATAATTAAATTGATATAATTAAATATCCATCCTGAATGACTTTATCTCGCTATACCTATTATTATTATTATTATTATTGTTATAATTATTATTACTTTTCAGAGGAAACGTGGTACGGATCGGGAAGTGGATCCGGTGACGGTTCAGGTGGTATAGACAACGAGAATCATTTCGAGGAAGGATCAGGTTATGGTGGCGATCATTCATCCCCGGAACAACCAACGAAACAGGCAACACCTAATAAAGGTCCAGAAGAGGTACCAACAGGCGGAAAGACGGACACGGAGACCAAACCAAATATCAATGACAACGTTAAGAAACACGGTGGCAATAATGCAACGTCTACGGTAGACGTTAGTGGAGCTAGCAGACAAAAAATATCATTGTCGCGTGCACTAACAACGTATTTGGTGCCGATTGTCGTTATGTGGTTTGGTGGATGTCTAACCGAGTGGCTGTGATCATCATATTCGGCATTATTATTATTATTATCATCATCGATTCGGTAGATTGTGTACTACAAGTGTAAATAATCTTCTCTCCTCTCATGTATGTGTTCGCGGGAGAACGGTAAAAACTCTTTTTCATTCGATGAACGACGATTTTACTCCCTGTCCACCCCCTGCCCCTCACGCCCCCCCATCCAGCTTATCCCCATTGATCAACAATAACAACAATAACAACAACCAGCAGAAGAACAAATCCTGTCACCTGTCTGATCGATCTTTCTACCCCTTTAACTAACAACCAACCTGCCTACGTGAAACTGGATTGATACTCCTTGAGTGACGGAAAAATTTCGTGAATATTCGTTGATAATTCGACGATGATGAAACGAGTGAAGTGTGAGTTTTTCTTTCTTTCGTTTCTTTTCTTTCCTTTTTTTTTTTCTTCCCCTTTTTTTTCTGGACTACGATCCTAGGAGGAGACTATCGTGAAACGATAGTCTCTCCCTATATATATGTATACATATTCTGTATATGTATATATATATATATATATATAGACATTCACATTCATGATCGATAGATCGATCGATCTATATCTCTTTTGAGAGTTTTTTACTTTATGTTACAAGAGTGTACTTCGATCAAATGTACTATCTCATACATACACCACTTTGTATTGTAAATCGTGTAAAGCAGCCTCTGATCGAACCCGAACGAATATGTATGTATACGAATTTAATGTCTCGCGACGGCATTGAACTCTCCAAAACGCGAGTTTATTATTATTACTACTACTATTACTACTACTATTATTACTGGCTACTACAACTGCTATTACTACTACTACTACTACTATTACTACTACTTGACAGATCTGAAGTGTTTTTTTTTCTTTTCTTTTTTCTCAGGGGAGGTTTTTTTTTTTTAGAGATTTTACCTCCCTCGCTTCTTCCTCCATCCTCCCCTCCCCCCATCCCTACACCTAATTCCCTTTCCTCCCTACGTCGAGCTTTGTTAACTAATACCACGGGATTGATCGAATATAATTTCATCGAGTTAGAATTCGAAAGAGAATGTGTTACAAGAGGAAATAAAGGAGAAACTTTTTCATACTTACATATATTACATATTATTATTATTATTATTATTATTATTATTATTATTATTATTATTATTATTATTATTATTATTATAATTTTTCTTTTTTTTTCTTCTTCTTTTTTCTTTTTATTTTCATTCACTTTCTTTCTCTTTCCTTTTTTCTATTTCCTTCTCATTCTTCTTCTTCTTTTATTTTCTTTTTGTTTCTATCTCTTTTTTTTTTTTCTTTTTTAACAAAAATTGCTAGTTATACTTATAACTAGCGAGTTGTGTTTTCTCTCTTCTTTTTTTGTTGGTTTTTTTTAGTTTTTTTTCTTTCACTCTCTCTTTCTCTTTCTCTCTCTCTCTCTTTCTTCTTGTGTCGCCGACGTAAAAAAAAACGCGTCGCATTGAATTATTAATGAAAACAAAAGTGTCGAAAAGAGAGAGAAAGAGAGAGAGAGAAAGTAAAAATGATAAAGAAAGAAATAGAAAGAAAAAGAAGAAGAAAAAGTAAAAGTAAAAGTTAAAAAAAGAAAAAGTAAGGAAGGCGCAAAGTCGACGTGCTGAAAAAGCTGAAAAATTAGCTCCTGTGATAAAAATCAAAATAAATCGAGCTCAATCATCTCGGCCAATTCTCCACGTTCTCGTACTTTGACGCATTTCAAATTTCCTTCTTTGCTTTTAACGCGAATCGAAAATAAAATAAAATAAAGTAAAGTGAAATAATAAAATGAAAAAGAAAAAATTAAAAAAGAGGGGAGAAAAGAAAGAGTAATAGAAAAAGAAGAAGAAGAAGAAGAAGAAGGAGAAGAGAGAAAGGGACATTTTACAAATCTAGTGAAAATATTATAGAACTAATAACGCTAACGAACTAAATAATTATTTGTAATTATAATATATTATTATATTATATATATTATATTATATATTATATATATATATATGTAATTAAATTAATATAAAGTTATATATTACGTTCGAAATATTTTATTGAACGGAAATAACGCGTGCGTAAATAGGTTCGTACCTACACATACATATATATATATACATACATATATATATATATGTATATTTGGATATATATATATATATATGTATGTGTGTGTGTGTACCTGTATATGTATATGTATGTAAGTATAATATACTTTGTTTTGCGAATTTTAATTGATCAATACGACTTTTTGTTAATTTTAACGAAACATATCTAAATGGATAAGTAAAGGAATATTACAGGTACGCGCGATGTATTTCTTCTTTTCTTATTTCTTTGCGAGAACGATTAATGTGAAAGATTATTAAAATAAAAAAGAGAAAAAAAAAGAAAGAAAGAAAGAAAGAAAGAAAGAAAGAAAGAAAATATTGTGCATTAATGCACTATGCACTAAATAGGAACAGGGTTGTCGTAGGAAGATCTTTTATATAACGATCATATAATTATACAATTTTTGATAAAATTATCCCTATAATTGGGGTATATATATATATATGTATATATATATATATATATATATATTCGTTGGTGGCTGCACATTATATGGCATGACAATTTAATTAATTGTATTTAAAGTAAAAACGACGTTCCTAATTTTTTTTTTTTCTTTTTTTTTTCTCTTTAATTTCTCTAAGAAAAGTACTAATGTCCATGACGTTGAAAAGAAATTCAAGTCTCTTTTAAAACAAAATGAATTTCATTATTTCTTTTCTCTTTTTCTTGTTCTTTTTATTTTTCTTTTTCGACGCACATTTGATGATTCTAATGTGAAGGTAAAAGAAGAAAAGAAAAAAAAAAGGAACTTTTGACAAAAATTGTTAAGCCTTGAGAAAAGAAATTTGTTCTCCATAATAATAATAATAATCCACAAGTTAACGTAAAATACGTGAATGTAATTAATGTGTGTGTTATCACGTTTAAACGAAAAAGAAAATAAAAATGCGTGCGAGAATATATATGAGAGATTGTGTGTAAGGTTTTTAGAGAGAGAGAGAGAGAGAGAGAGAGAGAGAGCGAGAGAGAGAGAGAGAGAGAGAGAGAAAGATTAAAAAAACTAAGAAAGAAGAAAGAAGGATTTCTCGAAGTGCCCCCCTTAAGTACCAACTGTTAGGCAATATTTAATTCAATTAATAACGATATCGAATTATAATGATTCAATGATGCTAACGAAAATGATATGTTAATGAAATATTTCAAATGATAATTCAATTCGTTGATTGAATTAAATATTCGCCAAACAATGCTCAGTGCGTTATAAGAAAAATATATATATATATATAGTAGTTATAATAATAATAATATTAATAATAATAATAATAATAAGTATAATAATAATAATAATAAGTATAATAATAATATAAAAGTAAACAAATAAAAAATAATAATAAAGTAGATTTATATACGAGATATATAATTATTAAACAAGAATTGAATTATAGAGATTGAGAGAGAGAGAGAGAGAGAGAGAGAGAGAGAGAGAGAGAGAGAGAGAGAGAGAGAGAGAGAGAGAGAGAGAGAGAGAATGAATGAATGTTTCGCGTGCAATTACCGATTTGTCGAACTTGTTTTTTTTTTTCCAGAACTTGGAAACAGAATACAATTTATACGTAATATGGTCGAACTTATGCATGTAAAGAAAAAAAAAGAAAAAAAAGAAAAAAAATAATACATAATAAAAGAAAAAGCGCATGTATTTAAACATACAATATGATTGAAAGGTCCAAACAATGCTCTTATTTAAACACGCGTTTTAATGAGTGTAACAGCAACAATAACAACAACACAACTACTACTACTACTACTACTACTACTACTACTATTACTACTACTACTACTACTACTACTACTATTATTACTACTATTACTATTCCTACTACACAACAACAACAACAATAACAAGAGCAAGAACATAGAGCCACGTGTGAGAAAAATGTGGAAACGCAGAGAAGAGAAGGAAAATAGAAAAATAAAATAATGAAGAATGATAACTTCTAATCTCTATAAATAATCTCAAATAAAATAGATTAACAACGCGCTTAGGATATTATATACGTTTTTATGTATACAGTACTTATTATATAGAATTTTTACGTTTACAGATACAATTAAACATTACAGATACAATAGATTTATCAACCATTGATGTCCGTTCGATATGAATCATTACGAGAGCGAGCGAGAGAGAAAAAGAGAGCTGAAGAGAGACAGAGAGAGAGAGAGAGAGAGAGGAGAGAGAGAGAAAGAGTGAGAGAGTGAGAGAGAGGTTCGAATGATCTAATGTTGGAAATTGTAAGTAGTGAAAGTAAACAAAAGAAAAAAGAAATGGGGTGAAAAAGAAGGATAAATAAAATACAATAAAACAGAAATTATAATAATCATAATAATAATCATAATAATAATCATAATTATAATAATGATAATAATAATAATAATAATAATAATAATGGACAAGTTTTTCATCGTGATGATTCTTATCACGAGATCATCTCTGATAATTGTACCAGTAATCGTCGATTTTTTTTTTTTATCTATGTCTTATTCCGTATAGTTATTTGATCTCCTTCGTCGTTTGTATGCTAATCTAATGTTCAAAAAATAATATACAGACAAATAGACAGACATACACACACAAAATCCATTCATATCTACATACATACATACATACATACATACATACATACATACATACGCAGCCTGTTAATATAATTAATGATAACGTCAGTTATCCAAAAAAATATAAGGAAAGAAAAAAAAGAAAAAAAAGAAAAAAAAATAAAAGATAAAAGAAAAGAAAAAGAATAAACAAAAAGAAAGGAAAGATAAAGAAGAAGAAAACGACTTTATTATCATCAATGAAAATTTGATTAATTAATATCATTTGTAAATATCTGATATATATATATATATTTTATATATATATATATATATATATATATATATATATATATATATTTATATATATATAAAACAAACGTTGGATCGTTTTCTTTTTCTTTTTCTTTTTTTTTTATATATCTTCTTATTTTAATTATAAAATACTTTTGATTTAATTCATTCGATTGGATTAATTCATTTCATGATTCATTTGAAATCACTTTTTTGTTTTATAATTAAAAAACGACCAAACGAATCACTATTATTATTATTATTATTATTATTAT